CTTTCCAGAGGTCCAAGACCAAGGTGTCACATATGGTAATAACCTTGCTTCTGTCTGGGGAGAGACATGCAGTGTTCACATGTGTGTCCTGTCTTTCACTCTTCTTTGACAGTAGGAATACACCTGGATGACCCTGTCTGACCCCAGTCATCTCCCAAAGGGCCCACCTGTTAACATCATAGATTTAACTTCTAATCTCTTAACATCTCACAATTAAATTCCCACACAGGAACTCTTAGGAAGTGCATGCAAGTCGTGTGAAATTTTGGTTAATGTGTTCTCTTTTTTTCAGAACATTCTTCCTACCAGATTTCTTTTTAAGGTTCTTTTTTTTTTTTTTCAATTATGCGTCTATATACATGGAGGCCAAAGAGCATCATGTCCACTGAGCTGGAGTTGCAGGCTGTTGTGACCTGCCTGACATGGGTGCTGGGAGCTAAGCTCAAGTCCTCTGCACAGGCACTGTGACCTCTTCACAGTTAGCCGCTGAGGTTAACTTCTGAATTAGCTATATTTCCATTGCTGTAATAAAACACTCTGACCAAGGTAATTTATAAAAGAAAGCTTTTAATTTAACTTAGAGTTTCAGAGGATTAGAGTCCATGGTGATGGAGCGAAGGCATGGCAGCAAGAACAGCTGAGAGCTCACAGCTTAAAACCACAAGCAGGAGGCAGAGAGCACACTGGGAATTGTTGCAGAACATTTGTTTATACTGCAAAGATGTGTCTCTGCCTAAGGCACCTTCCGATTGGATTAATAAAGAGCTAAATGGCCAATAGCTAGACAGGAGAGACAAGGTGGGACTTTTTGGCACAGAGCGAACTGGGAGGAAGAATCTTGGTGCCCACTTTCACCAGCAGACTCGGAGCAAGTTGGATGTGCTGAACCAAGCCACATGTAACCAAGCCACATGGCAGAAAATAGATTTTTTAAAAAATGATTTAATTAAGTTATAAGAGCTAGTTGAGAAAAAGCCTAAGCTAGTGCCAAGTTTTTATATTTAATAATAGTCTCTGGCTCATTATTTGGGGGATGTTGGTCCAAAGACAGTCTGACAAGAAAGCTTGCTACAGAGAATAGCATGAGTCTTCTAAAACCTCAGTCTCACCCACAGTGACACGCCTCTTCTGACAAGGTCACACCTCCTGATCCTTCCCAAAGAGTTCTACCAACTAGGGATCAAGTATTCAAACATATGAAGCTATGGGGGTCTTGCTCCTTCAGACAGAGAGATACCACCCCTCGGCCCTCTGCGTACCATATGTGTTCATTTTTAATGTCTTCTTGTTGATTCTGTTCTCGCTGAGAAGAAAAAGTTCAACAGGTAAAGACACAGGAAGACCATTTAGTAGTCCCATTTTTATGTATACACCATTTAAAGTCATTTGGACAAATGAAAAAAAATTGTTTGGAGGATGCTAATTTAGCTGGTGGCTTGTCTCCACCTCTCACCAGCTGGTGGAAGAGACGGCAACTTGACTGGGCAGTTTCCTCGTTCCTCCTTACCCTTCTGCCCACATCCAAACTAGGAGACTGCTGTGACAGAGATGGAGAGGTCTAATCAGGAGCCCCAAGATGTGATCCACTTTCTGTGGTGCCCTGGGGAAAAGCACACAAACCCAGTCTGCAGCTTGGAGGACAGTCCCAGGTAGATAGGCTGCTTTTGCATGCATTTGCAAACCATCTCTTTCTCTCCCCTCTCCAGCTGTGTGGCCTTCTCACACTGTAATCCTGTGACATCTTACTTCAGCAGCCCTTCGACTCTGTCCTTAAAGTTTCCTCCCTAAAGTGATTCTTACTTAACTAGGAGGTTCAGGTGCAAGGTCACACATGCAGCTTAGGTACTTATACAATGAGTCTTAGTGGCCGACTTACATTTTATTTATATTTAGTCTGTCTTACTATTCTTTTTGGTGGTCTCGAGGGAGGTAGAAGAAAGCCAGGTATAGTGGAATGTTCTCTCAGTCCAACTAGTTGGGAAGCTGAGGCGAAGGGTGACTTCCAGTTGAGTTTAAGACAAGCCTGGGAAAGGTAGGGGATCCAATCTCTCTTATTTTTAAGATTTATTTATTTATTATGTATACAGTGTTCTGTCTGAATGTATACCTGCACTACAGGCAAGAAGAGGGTACCAGATTGCATTACAGATGCTTGTGAGCCGCCATGTGGGTGCTGGGAATTGAACTCAGGACCTCTGGAAGAGCAGCCATCTCTCCAGTCCGGACATCCTATCTCTTTAAACAAGACGACGACAGTCAGTGAAGAAAGTCTTACTGTGTAGCCTAGTAGGCTGGCCTGGAACTCTGTGTAGACCAGGCTGGCCTCTGCCATCCAAGTGCTAGGATTAATGCCTTGTGCCACCACATCCAGCTATGATGTAATATTTCTGTGTCTTCTAGTGGATGCACATGTGCATGTGGATGCATGAACACATTTGTGCATATGTGTATGGAGGCTTCCCACTTACCTGAGTCTCGGGCCAGGAGGCCCCGAGAACTCCTGTCTGGGCCTTCACGGTGCTGGGCTCACAAGTGCTTCACTACACTGTCTGCTTGGCGGGTTTTACTAGACTAAGCCATCTCCTTAGCCTGATCCTAAGATTTTTAAGTTGTTTATTTCCTTTTAGCTAGATCGAAAAATTCTATAGATGGCACTTCAGACACCAATGACAGAATGAAGAAGTTAATAACCAGATCTAGTCCACCACCTACAGTGGGGAGGTGGTGTGCCTTGAACCCTTAGAGGCGAGTCAGAATTGAGCGTGTCCTATAGGCTAACAGCTCACCTTTGCTCTGAACCGGCACAATGATCACAGAACCCCAAAGAAGAAACTTGGAATTTACACGGGCTTGATCGCACAGGTAAATGGACAAAAACAAAATGAATTTTCATTGGCATGAAAATACATACACAAACATATACATTCACTAACTCCGTAAGAGCCTATGTAGGTATGAGTCAAAATTTTGTCCAGTAATTGTAGTATATATTATATATGTGTGTATTAATACATAATATATGTAAATAATTGTTAACTGAAAGTTAAATGAGAGTTAAATATTTTAACACTAAATAGTAGTATATTGGTGTCCATTCCACCATACCAGGTGTTTGTAGCACTACCAGGGGTAATGTTTTCCCCCCTTATAAAATTCTGGTCTTGAGAGTAGTAAGACGGCTAAGTGTGTAAATGTGCTTGACACCCAGCCTGATGCTGTGACATCCATCCCCAGGACCCCCATGGCAGAAGAAAAGAACAGATTTGTCCTCTAACGCCCATACTTATACCATGGTAAATGCACACCCACATTGTGTGTGTGTAAACAAATAAGATGTTTTAAAAAAATTAAAGACCTAGAGAGACGACTCAGCAGTTAAGAGTACTTGTTGCTGTGGCAGAGGACTAGAGTTCAGTTCCCAGCACCCACGTGGTAGTTCGCACCACTGACCCAGGGAATCTGATTCCCTCTCCTTGCCTCCAAAGGCGCCCACACTCATACATACATTCCCACACAGATACATAGTGTCTTAGGGCTTCTTTGCTGTGAAGAAACACCATGACCACCGCAACTTTTATAAAGGAAAACATATAACTGAGGTGGGTTTAGTCCATTATTGTCATGGTGGGAAGCAAGGCAGCATGCAGGCAGACATGACACTAGAGGATCTGAGAGTTCTCACATCTTGACTCACAGGCAACCATAAGTAGACTGTCTCACAGGGCATGGCTTGAGCACGTATGAGACCTCAAAGCCCATCTCCACAGTGACACACTTCCTCCAACAAGACCACACCCACTCCAACAAGTCCGTACTTCCTAATAGTGCCACACCCTTTGGGGGCCATTTTCCTTCAAACCACCACAAATAGTCATACAAACAACTAAAAATAAAGTAAATACTTGTTTGAGACAGGATCTCACTATGTAGCTCTGGCTGTCCTCGAATTCATAGCCTCCTGCCTCTGCCTCCCAAGTAGTAGGATTAAAGGTGTGTGCCACCATACTTTGCTAAAGTAAATTTTTTCCCTTAATTCTGGTTTCTGTGTTTGCTGAACCCTGAGGAATAAGAGTTGTTCTCTAATGTATAGAGAGACTCCTATTAGTGCTATGAATACAATGTAAATAAAACATTTAAAGCAAAAACATGTTTGACAGAAAATTTTTCTGAAAATGCTTATCAGAGACATATATATGTATAGAAAATGTTGAAAAGTGCACACTTTTAGCAGGAAAAATAACAAAACTTTCTAAATGAGCTCACATACAGAATTTTTTAACTCTTTAGGACAGTTGATTATTGCTCAGTGGTAAGAGTGTTTGCTAGCATACATCTGACCCTAGGTTTAGAGAGAATTGTTAAACATTTTTGAACTAATATGCTACTGCTTGGTGTTAAAATATTGCATTATTACAGGCATTTTTAATTGCATTGTGTGTGTGTGTGTGTGTGTGTGTGTGTGTGTGTGTGTGTGTACGTGCTCAGAGGACAACTTGTAAGAGGCAGTTCTCTTTTTAAACCTTGTGGGTCATGGGACCGAACTCAGGCGTGGCAACAAGCGCCTTTACCAGCCAAGCTATCTCAAAGTCCCTAAAAACAGATTTTTTTTTTCAGTGTGTTGGTTTGGCAGATATTTGAGACAGAGTCTCCATCTCTCCCAGGCTGGTTTTGAGACGAGGTTTCCATCTCTCCCAAGCCAGTCTCAAGTTTTGTACTGCTACCTCGGTAAAAATGGCCTTGCACTTCTGATCCTCCTGCCTCTACTTCCCCGGGTGCTAGCATTGTAGGCTTGCAGCACCCTAATCATCGTATGCAGTGCTAGGGTTTGAACCCAGGCTTCCATGCATATGAGGCAAGCACTCTACCTACTGAGCTACTCCCTGGTCCAGCTTTTTTTACTCTTTGAAAGCTGAAGGACAGTGTCAATAAGATGATCTCAGCAGCACATCACTAGGGAGGACTGTGTGGACAAATAACAAAATTGCTTTCCTCATTTTTAGGTGTGTGGTTTTTAATAACAGAGGAGTGGCAGGAGAGAATCTCCTGGTAAGTAAATTTAAAAGACAAGCTTCAATTTGAAAAAGAATAATTTCCTGTTTTATAATGAAAAGCACATTATATTTTATTGAAACTAATTTTGCAGTTAATGTAAAGTCATAGTAGGAAAAGCTTTCCAGCCCAAATTAGTATACTTTATAGTTCTTTTATTTGCTTGTATATGTTAGTATGTGTATAGATACCCTGGACTAGAGTTACATGCACTTGTGACTGTTTCATGAACTCTGGGAACTGAACTGGGGCCTTCCAGGAGAGCAGGACGTTCTCTCAACCACTGAGCTGTCTCCCAACACTTTTATTTCATAATGACTGTATCCTAACACCAGGAGATATTAATGTATAGCTTTTTATGCTTTTGTTTGTTTTTGATTTTTTGAGATGGTTTCTCTGCAGTGTCCTGGCTGTCCTAGAACTCACTCGGTAGATGAGGCTGGCCTCAAACTTAGAGATCTATCTGCCTCTGCCTCACAGCGCTAGGATTAAAGGTGTGCACCACTACCACCCAACTATGCCTATCATTTTAATGCAAAATACATTTTCTTTACAAATTAACCAGTATAGTCTATAGATAAAGCTAAGTGGTTAGAGTTCTTGCCAAGCATGTGTGAGGTAGACTCAGTCCCAGTGCCAGATGGCCAGGGAGGATTTTAGTTACTGTTCTATTGCCGTGACGAGAAGCCATGGCCAGGATGACTTATAAAAAACCGTGCTAACTGTTTCATAGGATGAGTACATGGCCATCATGGTAAAGAACATGTCAGCACGTAGACATCAGTAGCTCCGAGAACTTACTTCTGATCCATAGGCAACAGGCAAAGAAACCAAGTCTGCACCTGGTGTGAAGCCACCCCTGGAGATACACCTCTTCAAATCCTTCCCAGAACAGTTCCACCTGCTAGGGTCCAAGCGTTCAAATATATGAGTCAGTGGAGGCCAGTCTCAGTCAAACCACCTCAAACAACAAAAACAGTGTAGTAATACGTGTTTTTCTGTTATAAAAAGAGATTTAGGCAGGCAATGGTAGTGCACAGCTTTAATCTCAGCACCAGGGAGGCAGAGGCAGGTGGATCTCTGTGAGTTTGAGGCCAGCCTGGTCTACACAGGTGAAACCCTGTCTCAAAAAAACAACTCAAAAAACTGTTGCAGGAGGAGACCACTTGTTTCCTGGCCACCCAGCAGCTCAGACCAGAAATAATCACACAGAAACCATATTATTTAAATCACTGCTTGGCCCATTAGCTCCAGCTTCTTATTGGCTAACTCTTACATATTAATTTAACCCATTTCAAGTAATCTGTGTATCACTACGTGGCTGTGGCTTACTGGCTAAAGTTCGGGTGTTTGTCTCCAGCAGGGCTACATGGCTTCTCCTGACTCTGCCTCCTTTCTCCCAGCATTCAGCTTAGTTTTTCCTGCCTACCTAAGTTCTGCCCTATCAACCGGCCAAGGCAGTTTATTCACTAATGGTAATCACAGCATACAGAGGGAAATCCCACATCACCTCCCTTTTCCTGTTTAAATAAAAAGAAAGGTTTTAACTTTAGCATAGTAAAATTTCAAATAACAAAACAGTTATCAAGCAAGAATTACAGTTACAATATTTATATCTACTTTATCTTTTATCATAACTAAGGAAAACCTCTACAACTGTTTAAGCTTCAACTTCATCAAAGACCCCAGAAGGATATAATATTACCTAAGTAAACAGGAAGTACATTGTAAGCAACTTCCAAAACTCTAGAAATGACAGAGACATCTCACTGCCTGAACAGTCATCCAAAGTTCCTCTGTACCATTGGGGCATCCATCTTCATCCTACAAGCCAATAATATCCAGAAGACTTTTCCATGAAGCAGAAAATTTCAAAGACAGTTCCATCTATATTGGCAGTTTGTCAGTCACTTTCTTCTGTGCCCTGAAGAATGTCTGGCAGTCTCTTTGATGAAGCAGGAACCTCCAAGGATCATCTCACCTTTAGACAAGTTCAGCAGTCATTTCTCTGTGGGTCCTGCATGCCCAGTTCATGAAGCAGTCCAGGCAAGAGCAGTTTCTTGCCCAAATGGCTAACAAACTCCATAAGGAGCCTCTTTGATGCCCATCATCCTCTTGAAGTAATTGGTGCTGCCAGGAGCAGATGTGTCTCATTGTCATGAAAAGTCATTTTAAATGCCATATTCTGAAGTGAAAGATATGAAGAATACTTGTCTAACTGAAATATATCTGTGTACATCTAGAAAATCTAACTAGCATGACTACAGACTTGACTATTATAGATGATTATCTATTAACCTATATTTCTTAATTATACATTACATTTTTAAATGAACTGTCCAATCACAATACCTTAATCAAGAGCAGAAATTATACACACACACACACACACACACACGCATGCACGCACACACACAGTATAACAAAATTGACCTTAAATTTGTATCAATAAATTCAGATCCATACTCATGCAAATCTCTATAGCATATCCCTCTTTAAATATAAACAAACATTTATCGACAATATTTGGGAATATGGGCATAGTTCTGTCTAAACTTTTTCTGTGTTTATTGGGCAAAGTAATTTTAGGGGGTGTTCATGGGGTCTTGGTCCATCAAACCACATTAGTCTAGAAGGATCCCACAGGTTCTCACCCTCTGTGGAAACAAAAGAAAACCTCTTTTCCAAACAACAATTCCTTAGTCCCCATTCCTATTGTGTATCTGTAATTCTTTACTGTCTAGGAGTGCTTCTTAAAATGGTAAGCACTTCATAAAAACTTAAGTAGCGCCATTGGTGGTGGTAATGCAGCATTGCCTGCTTGCCCTGCCCAGCCCAGCATGGTGAAGCTGTTTGCTGCCTCTGAGAGCAATGCTCCTAGCCCTATCTTTAGGCACACAGCCAGTCTATGTTGCCATTAAGCAAGTTGTAGCAGTCTGCTCTCAAAATCCATTTAAATGCTCCATAGCCAGACCTCCCAACAAAGAATTAGAGTTTGTGCTGGCAGCAGGGCCCAGAAAGCCAGCATTTCAAAACCATGCAGCTTTTTTTTTTTCTGCTACCACTGAATCAGGAAAACCTCTCTCAAAGGAGCTGTGGCATACCACCAGCAAACAGCAAGAAGCTGTGTTATTCTTATTTGCTAACTCTTAACATCTTAATTTAACCCATCTCCATTAATCTGTGCATCACCATGAGGTCATGGCCTACCAGCAAAGTTTCAGCACGTCTGTCTCCGGTGGCAGCTCCACAGCTTCTCCTGACTCTCCTTCTTTCTCCCAGCATTCCCCTTAGTTTTCCCCACCTACCTAAGTTCTGCCCTATCCATAGGCAAAGACAGCTTCTTTATTCACCAATGGTAATCACAGCATACAGAGGGAAATCCCACATCAAAAAGCAGAAAAGAGATTTAGTTTTGTCATGGTATACACTGGCTGTGTGTTGTATTCATATTTACAGGCAGGTTTTACAAAGAAGTAGTATTATTTAAATCATTTTAAATTAAATCATGTTTTCCCCCTCTGACTCCTAGTTAGTTCTTCCACATCACTGCCACATTTGGTAAGTATATCTGTAGGATGAGTCAGGCATGGTGCTCACTGCGTCTTTCTTCTCAGCTATCTGGGAAGCTGAAGTAGGAGGATTGCTTGAGCTCAGGAATTCAAGGCCAACACAGTGAGGTCTGAAGGGAACAGCATGCTGCAAGCAGAGTCTCCTCGGTCCCACAGAGTGAGAGACAAGGATCTGCTGTGGTTACGGCAATAGAGTGGATTGTACAAATTAATGGGGCCTGCCTGTCCTTCTCAGAAGCTCAAGGTTCACTTGCAGTGAAGTATAAAAAAAAAATAGATGTAGTTCATTGCCAAGTGTAACTTCAGCAAGTTCTACCAAGCTATAAAAGACAGCAAATGGGTAACCAGTTTCCTGCAAGGCGTGGGAAGTTTCATGATAATCATCTTCTTAGTTGCACATTTAAGGCTGTGACATTGAACCCTCAAGAGGTTGTCACAGTATATCAAGAAAGCTATTACTTGTGGCTGGATAATGATGGTGGTAATTCTGAATAATATTTTTGAGTCCTTAGGATATACCACTTAGGTCTTTTTTACTTATCTTCTGGAGTAGAGTCAACCCAGTGATCTATGGAAATAGAGCCGTAAAGTGAGACATGGGGAGAATAGGACTCAGAGACGGGGCTCTGGCATGTACCTGTGTCGGTGAGGACCGATAGGATAAGTTCCCCGTACTCTTCATAAAGTAGCAGATACTCTTCTAGAGGCATGGGCTCAGTTTTAACAAAGTATGTGATAATCCTAAGAAGCTCAGTACTGCATTATCACTCTTTGGAAGCAGGAATGATTTGACCATGGTCCTGGTGCGGAGCCATGGAGGTGATAGAAACGGAGCTCGAGTGGAAGCCTGAGACGGCACCAAAGACTCGCGCAGAGTTTGAAGTTTGAAAACATGCGGGATAGACAGAGAGGGGAAAATGGGCTGGAAGATTATTAGTGCGTTTTATTATAGGGGGGTCTTATGGGGGTCAGAGGACAGCTTCCAGGAGTAGTGTATTTTATTATTGGGGAGTCGTGTGGGGGTCAGAGGACAGCTTCCAGTAGTGTATTTTATTATTGGGGGGTGGTGTGGGGGTCAGAGGACAGCTTCCAGGAGTAGTGTATTTTATTATTGGGGGTCGTGTGGGGGTCAGAGGACAGCTTCCAGGAATAGTTTTTCTCCCTTCCTCGGTGGGTTTGGGAGACTGGACATGGGTCGTCAGGCTTGCACAGTGGCACTTTTAACCATTCAGCCATCTCACCAACCCAGAAAAAATATTAATTATATTGCGGGACATGAAGAAGGGAGCGCTAAGCCCCAGTTTTAGGTTGTCTGACTGGTAGATGCTGATGCTTGCTAAAATGGAAGATCTCCGGGAATTGACAAGACTGGAGGCCAGTGTTGCTCAAACCTACAATCCCAGCACTAGGAAAGTAGCGGGAGAA